CTCCCTCACACGTATGACTTCTCGAATGGCATCAGTGAGAATGCAAACTATGTCTGAGCCAACTTCTAATACTCTCTTTCTGTGGGTTGTTGAAGGGGTTGTTGGCCTTTTAACCTGCTGGGCTAGAGGAATTCCTCACTGCAGTGGGTCCACCATGGCCCCAGTGGGGGTTCCTATAAGTACATTTAATAATAACAGGACAGTGTGTGAAATTAATTACATTATGGGCCAGATATCTGGTGGTTTGACCAAGCTGACTTAGATGTGTTCTGATTCTGCTGCAGCCTGTGTGGGAAATCGCTTGGGTAACCATTTCTGTATAATTCTGTAGGAAAGAACAAGGATTCTGGCTGGCCCATACTTTCTCACCACATCTATTATTGGTGACTCATTTGAATCTTAAATATGGCTGAACTTGAATGTCACTGGAACTGTGGACGTCTGAGCAATGAAGGCTCCTTTGTTCAGCAGCCAGAGTTTCAGGTCTGGTGGGAGGGGCACATATAAATCAACATCAACTAAAGAGAGAATTTGGTAGGCTTTCATACCTCTTGCCAGATCATGAAACCCGGAAGACTGAATTGCCTCAGTTGGGCTGGGTGGTAGTACTTGAAGCTTGGTGTGGTTTTAATAGGGGCTGAGGCTTAAGGGTTGAAGCTGGAGCCAGTCTTGGCTCTTGGAGAAATCAACCACTTTGTGCTTAGAGTATTTACCGATAAACACGTCTCAGCAGAAAACATATTGTGGCTGAGTCTGCCTAGAGGTGTGGGTTGTGTGTGTGTGTGTGTGTGTGTGTGTGTGTGTGTGTGTGTGAATGTGATTTTGGCTGGGTCTGGGTAGGGTGAAAAACATGGTCTTAGACCTTGAACTTGGGCAAGAGAGAAGACTATACCCCAATGTGGTCTGTGTTTTACAGGTGGGGAGGGAAATCCACCAGCCTTGTCTGGGTTCAAGAACTGAGCATACTAGGGTTGGGGCTTTGAGAGATTGGGATTGGCCATCTGTTGGGGAATACCTAAGTGAAGATCTGGTATGAATGGAGGGAGAAAGGTTTAGGGGAGGGAAAGGTGGGATCTAACCGCTCTGCCTAGCATGTGATCCTAGGCTGAGGCCTACATGTGCACGTATTATGTACTGTATTGCAGAAGGGTGTAGGCTGTTGCAAAATAGCTTGGGTTGATTCCAGTCAAGGACACCTAAGCTCAGATCTCATTGCTGCCACTTATTATCTGTGTGACTTTGTACAAAATTCTTAACTTCTCTGAGCCCTCAGATTCTTTCTTTCCTTAACTTCCTGCTCTCTGGAAGGTCAGTGAGTTTCCATGAAGCTGGTGTCTTCCGGAAGTCAGGCACCCCACTCCAGATTTCCCCTGTCTTCATAGCCAAGCAGAGCAAAGGAAGATAGAGATCTTGGGTTCCTTCTGATTTAAACCTTGCCATTGCATCAAGGGCAGGAAGGACTCTGGATAGAATGGGGAAGCCAGGTGTCTTTTCCTTTGCCAGCCCTATGGTCATCACCTTGTTCTTTTAGGGAGGCTTTAGTGTGAATTGCATTTTGTTGAACTTTAATCCTCTGATAATAAGCAATCTGTGTTTGAGATCTTTTGGTAAACACAACATTGTATTAACAGGGATTTATCATTATCTGACTATTCTGCAAGGCTGGGGAGTGTAAAGCAACACACAAGGAAGAGCAAGCCTTTCAGGTCGCTAGTCACAGTGGATACTGTTGTCAGTGCTTACAAAATGGGTCTGTTTGGTGTACATCTATTCCATATATGTGAATGGGACTAATAATGTCTGTCCACTGGGCTTTTATGAGCTCTAATCTTATTAGTTCCCTGTTAAAAACCTTCAATGGTTCCCTGATCAATACCAAATTGTATTTTCTCTTCCTGGCTTTTAAGTCTCTCTACAATTTGAAAACAACATTTATAATGAATATTTGTGCATTGTTTTACAGTTTCTAGATTTATCCCAGGAAAGCAAGTATGGTTTAGTATTAGAAAAATGTATTAGTATCACTTACCACATTAAAAGAATAAAGGGAAAATCCATATGATCATGTCATTAGAGTCACAAAAACATTTGATAAAATCCAGTATAATTTTATGATTAAAAAAACAATACTATACAAGGGAATGTTCTCAATTTGATTAAGGGCATCTACAAAAATCCTTCAGCAAACATACACAATGGGGAAACATTAGAAATACCTTTAAAATCAGGAAGATGACAAGAATATGAGTATTCATTAGCACACTTTCTGTTCAGCATTGTGTGGTCATCCTAGCCAGTACAGAATTTCTTTCAAAAAAGAAATTAGAGCCCTAAGAATGGAAAGAAGGGAAAAAAAACCCGGGCATTATACTGGTAAAACAATTGTTTACATAGAACACCTAATTTGATCTTCAGGCAAATAGAAATAATGGGAAACATTTGGTAAGGTGGTTGGATCTAAGATCATTTTGCACAAATCAATTGCATTTTATAAAACATAATCAGAAAATATAATTAAAAAAAGACATCATTGCTATTATAAAAGAGCAACAAAAACCATAAAGCACTTAAGAATAAAATTTAATTTAAAATTTAAGAATTAAAATTTAAACATGAGTAAGGTCCTCATATGGAAAAACACAAAAGTTTGAGTGACATTATAGAGGACCCAAGTAAATGGAGAGATATTTCATGTTCATGGATAGGAAAAACATAATATCAGAACGATGTCAGTTCTCTCCAAATTGATCTATAAATTCAGTGCAGTTTCTGTCAAAATCCCATGAGAGTCTTTCATGAAACTTTGACAAGCTGATATTAAAAATTTGTATGACAGAGTGAAGAGACTGGGACAGTCACGACACCTCTGAAGCATAATAATAGGAATGGGACTTGCCCTCTCAGATATCAGGCCTTGTTATGAAGCTACAGACGTGTGTTACTGGGACAGAGAGAGATAAACTGAGCAAAGTAATAGGTTAGAGAGTCCAGAACTAGATCCCTGTATATTTGGAACGTTGACATGGGACCTACGGTGGCGTGACAGGTGAATGGGGAAAATAGGAAGTATTCAATAAGTGGAATTTATGGGAAAAAATTAGACCCCTGTTTCACATTGTGACATAAAAGTCAATGTCCGATAAAAGAAGGACTTAAATATCAAAAGCAAAAATGTTAAGCATTTAGTAGAATATAGAAATCCATATCTTTCTAGCCTTGGAGCAGGAAAGGACGCTAACTATAAAGAAATGATGCCTGTGGGATTTCTTCCATGATGTTTTTCATCTTTACTGGGTATTCCTCCTTCCCACGTTTTCTGTTTCAAGGGTTTCTTTACCTCTTTAAACACCTGACTCTAATCGTCTGCCTTTGTGCATCTCTGTATATTTTTTGTTCTGTGCTCATCTAACTTCTTTGCACTTGGAATCCAAACAGTCCCAAAGTTCAAATTTCTGTAGCTTACGTTTGTATGCTGAACTGAAGGTGTGGAAGGAAGCCAGCGGAGGAGCCTGTCATGGTCAGATGAGCTGTGGGTCTGGCATGCTTGACTGTATTTGAAATTTACAAATCCCAGCGTGCAATCTCTTGAGACTCTTAGGTCCCTGGAACATTCTCTTAGCCACAGCAGCCCCTTTCTTAAGCCAGTTTGCAAGGCTAAGTGGTAGCATGGACAGAGGGCTGTGGACAGAGGGAAAGGCAAAGGAAACTACTCTCATTGTCTTAGAGTTGGAGTGAACTGTGGGTCCCCAAATCTACACAAGTGGAGAAGGTTCTGTTTTCCTTCTAGCAAAGCAGAGCATAGCCTGGTCCAAACAGAGGTAACTCCACTTGATGACTATGAAGCTGGATAGTTTCTTCCTTGCTCATTTTGATTTTTTTTCTTTCCCACCCCCCATAAAATTGAGGCATGTTGCTCAGGAGTAGTTGGGCATCTAGATGGCGTCCCATAAGGACTTGGATGTTTTGCCTTCAGCACAGAGGGTTTTGAGATTATGAATGACTCTTGCTAGTTACCACCTGCTCATTTAGCTCACACAGCTAGACTTTCTTTTCATAACAAATTACAGCCTCTTGTCTTTTTATGGGATTATGGTTTCCCCAAAGCTTTCACTTCTGTGCCACCGTTCTCTGTAGTCATTGTGATCTTTCTAAAGCACAAATGTGTTCACCTGCTTCCTGTCCCACTTCTCTGCTTATAATCCTTTGATGGCTTCAGAATGGAATCCAAACTCCTTAGATTTGCTTATATGACACTTACGAGACAGTTCAGTCTTTTACCCTTGTCTCTTGATACTCTTCTCTAGCTTTACTGAACTTCAGTACTTGTGACACATTTGACTCTCCAGGGCTTGGTTCATACTGTTTCCTCTGCTAGAATACTCTCCATCTTCCTTTTTACAGGGCTGATGATCTACTCTTCCTCAGAAGTTTTCCCTAAAAGCGCCAGCACTGGGATAGTTGCCCGTCCTTGGTGCTTCTGTAACTCCTATCAAACCATGTACTTAAGATATGATGGTTAAATGTTTACTTTCTTCTCAACTGAATTCTAAGCTTTGTGAGAGTGGGGTCTGTACCTTGTTTATCATTGTGTTCCCCTTAAGTTTAAATACAGTGCCTGGTGCTTAGTAGCCTCCATTAGGTGTTTGTTGAATGAACAAACATCCCTGTGAATTGAGTGGCGTAGTGCTTAGCCTCCCCTATCCCTTTAGGGGATGGAGAAATGGACGGTAAGGACCTCACACAAAGTCACAAAAGTGCTTGGTGGGAAACGCTGAGCTAGGACCTGGCTTCTCCCCCGAGGAATGCACTTTGCATTGGAAGATCCTGCAAGAATGCCTGACTCAGTGCGTTTCTTCTCTGCTGAGTCTGTGGTTAAGAGAACAGGCTGACAGAGATGCCCCCGATGGGTGGGCAAATGTATGGGCTTGTGGCAGTTGGATGAATGGGTTTACCAACATGCAATCCTCTTTTTTCCCCTCCCACTCCCTTTCTGTTCACAGTATCAAGCTGAACTCCCAGCCCCCGGCACAGGCTGGGGATGATGAGAAGAACCAGAAGACGATCACTGTCAACCCTGCCCACATGGGGAAGGCGTTCAAGGTTATGAATGAACTGCGGAGGTACTTTTCCTGTTTTGCCTATGCTCTTTTGGAAGGAACTTGTAGGGTGAGCGTCATCAGGGACTGAGAATTCTGACTCCTGGTGAATTCTGACTCTTCCCCGCCCACTTCCAGACAGTCACTTGGCTTCCCCTTTCAATCTGATCGAGACAGAATATCTTGCAGAAATCCCTCTTCCCTTTGTATTTAACACCTATCATTTTAGTGCTTAATCACAGGGGAAAATTCCCTTATGGTTACAGAAGTTCTGTTCATAAACTTGATTTCTGACAGTACTAGCTGCTTGAAGTCCAATAATATAATGATTGCAGCACCTACACACAATTGCAGATTAAAGATTGTGGCTGCTATGCGTGTTTTTTTTTTGCCCTCCCTCTCAGTTCTTGGTCTGAACCTAGCTTGTCAAGACAGCTGCATGAATGGAAGAATACTGAACTTCTAAAATGCAATTTAATTCTATAAAGAAAGAAAGAAAATGCAAATGTACTCATCCTCCCTGAGCTCAATGGTGACGTGTGTGCAGGCTATTTGTAAGGCCAGTGTGCATGTTTGATGAACTTGTTGCAAGACAGGTTCAGGGCACTGAACAGTTTTTCTGTGCACAGGCTGTGCTGACACAGTCTTTTCCTCTCCAGAGAGCTCAGAAGCTTCCTTTTCCTTATTTACTGTACACTTCATCCTACTCTGAGCTACTGGGTTGTTGGAAAAGTCATGACGCGTTTTTGCAACGATAAACATAGAAAAAAATATGTCATGACTTTCCCGACAACCTGATATTATTGTTTATCTCTTCTTTTCTCTGTAGCTCATGAGTTCCCTGAGGGCAGGGGCAACTTCTGAATCATTTGATCTCTAGCACCTGGTACTTCCTAGGAACTTTGAGTCATTCACCAAAGATGCACAGAGGCACTGGCTAGGTTCTGGGATGGGTGAGTGGGGGTACAAGATAAAAAATGTAAATAGGTCAACAAAAATGATTTTCTACAGTAAAAAAAAGGTGTTTTATGAAGGAGGAATACACCAAGTACCTGCCACTTGATAGGTGTACAGTAATTACTTGTTTCTTAAAGGGTGCTGTGGAAGCAAGTATTCCAACTGCAGCTTTGGCGAACACTTCCTAAAGGGGATGATGCTTAAGCTGAATTTTGAAGGACAAGTAAGAGTTAAAGAAATGAAAAGTGGTGAGGTTAGGGGGAAGTCTTTCCGACAGAGGAAATGGCAGGAGCAAAAGCATATATAGCTGAAGACGTGTTTGTTGAGTAGGTGGTTGAACTACTTTATACAAAAGTTCTATCTGACTTTATGTTTGTTTCTTCATTTCTACTTTCTGCAGGGCTCAGTGTTTGGCATGAAACCAAGTTAAATTAAATTTGTTTTATGCCCTACTGCTCAATTTTTATTAGGCCTCCTGCTAGATTTCCTGGAAGCTGTGTCCATAGTTGTCTTAGGCAGTGTGCAGTGCTGATGTTCATGCCTATGAATATGGTTCTCTTGTCACTAAAGAATTTGTGTTGTGTTCCCTACACACTATTGAAGTTCTCCACGTAGTTCCCTTGAGTATGGCTTGTACTGTGTTTCCCCGAAAATAAGACCAGGTCTTATATTAATTTTTGCTCCAAAAGATGTATTTTATTCGTTTATTCCTGTACAAAAATCTGCATTTATTCAAATACAGTCATGCCTGGCTGACGACCTTAACTGGGGCTTATTTTGGGGTAGGGCTTATATTACAAGCATCCTGAAAAATCATGCTAGGGCTTATTTTCTGGTTAGGTCTTATTTTCAGGGAAACACAGTACCTTGTGTCTGATTTAAGACTCCAGGTTTCCAAATAAACAACCTAACTTTACACCTCATGGAATTAGAAAAATAAGAACAAACTAAGCCTAAAGTTAGAAGGAAGGAAATAATAAGGATTAGAGCAGAGATAAATGAAATAGAGACTATAAAGACAATAGGAAAAAAATCAATGAAACTAAGAGTTAGTTTTTTGAAAACAGAAACAAAATAGACAAACCTGTAGCTAAATTAACCAGGAAAATAGAGAGGACTCAAAATTATAGATGAAAGAGGAGACTTTACAACTGGTGCCACAGAAATACAGATGACCATAAGAGGCCATTATGAACAATTATATGCCAAAAAATTGGATAACCTAGAAGAAATAGATACATTCTTGAAATACAGCCTTTTAAGACTGAATCAAGAAGAAGTAGAAAATCTGAACAGAACAATGATTAAGGAGATTGAATTAGTAATAAAAAATCTCCCAAAAAAGAAAAGCCCATGAGCAGATGATTTCACTGGTGAATTCTACCAAACATTCAAAGAAGAATTAATGCTAATCCTCCTCAAACTCTTCCAAAAACTTGAAGAAGAGGGAACATTCCCAAACTCATTTTAACAAGGCCAGCATTACCCTGATACCAAAGCCAGATAAGGGCACCACAAGAAAAGAAAACTACAGGCCCATATCCTTGATGAATAGTGATACAAAAATTCTTAACAAAATACTTGCAAACTGAATTCAGTAGCACATTAAAAAGATAATATATAACGATCAAGTGGGATTTGTCCCTGGGATGCAAGGATGGTTCAAAATATGCAAATCAATAAATGTGATACACCACATATATAGAATGAAGGATGAAAATTATAGGATCCTCTCAATGGATGCAGGAAAAGTGCTAGACAAATTCAACATCCTTTCATGATAGAAAATCCCAACTAATTGGAAATGGAAGGAACATGCCTCAATATAATAAAAGCCATATATGACTAATCCACAACTAACATTATACTCAGTGGTGAAAGGTTGAAAATTTTTCCTCTAAGGTCAGGAACAAGACAAGGGAGTAGTACTGGAAGTCCTAGCCAGAGCAATTAGGCAAGAAAAAGAAATAAAAGCCATCCAAATCAGAAAGGAAGAAGTAAAAATGTCTCTGTTTGCAGATGACATGACCTGAATATAAAAAATAGAAAACTCTACCCCTAAACTTTTAGAACTAATAAACAAATTTGGTAAAGTTAAGGGTACAAAATCAACATACAAAAGTCAGCTGCATTTCTATTCATTAATAACAGTTTATTTGAAAGAGAAATAAAGAAAAATATTTATAATAGCATCAAAAACAATAAAATAAATTTTCTTTTGCTGTTTTTGTTTTGACTTCTGGTCTCCAGAACTATACTTAGGAATAAATTTAACCAAGGGGGTAAACGATCTGTACACTGAAAACTATAAGAACATTGATGAAAGCAATTGAAGAAAACACACATAAATGGAAAGATGTTCTGTTTGTGGATCGGAAGAATTAGTATTGTTAAAATGTCTATACTACCCACAGCCATCTATAGATTCAGTGTATTCCTTACCAAAATTCCAATGGCATTTTCCACACAGATTGAAAAAACAATCCTAAAATGTGTATGGAACCACAAAAGACCCTGAATAGCCAAAACAGTTTTGTAAAAGAAGAGCAAAGCTTGATTTTAACTATATTACACTGTTACAGTAATCAGAACATTATAGTAGAGACACATAGACCAATGAAACAGAATTGAGAGCCCAGAAATAAACTCATGCTAGTATGGTCAACAGATATTTGACAAAGGAGTCAAGAATACTCAATAAGGAAAGGACAATCTCTTCAGTAAACAGGACAGTCAAATGAGTGAAATTGGGCCCCACTCACAAAAATTAACTCAAAATGGATTAGAGACTTAAGTATTAAGACCTAAAACCATAAAACTCCTAGAAGAAAACAGAGAAAAAGCTCCTTGTCATTGGTCTTGGCGATGATTTTTTGGATATGACACCAAAAACATAAAAGCAACAAAAGCAAAAATAAACAACGGGACTACATCAAACTAAAAAGCTTCTGCACAGCCAAGGAAACCATCAACAAAATGAAAAGGCAACCTATGGAATGGGAGAAAATATTGGCAAACCACATATCTGATTAATATCCAAAATACCAGGGGTGCCAAAAAAAGTTAACACATTTTAAGAGATGTTATCTAAAATGTATACATTTTTTTGGCACCCTCTGTATATAAGAAACTCATGCAATTCGATAGCAAAAAAACAAAACAAAACAAAAACCCCTAAATAATATGATTATAAACTGGGCCAAGGACCTGAATAGACATTTTTCCAAAGAAGACATCCAAGTGGCCAATAGATACGTGAAAAGGGGCTCAACATCACTAATCATCAAGGAAGTACAAATGAAAACCACAATGAGATATCACCTCATATTTGTTAGAATAGTTATTATAAAAAAGGTAAGATATATTGGGGAAATCACTTTATAAGTTATATAAATGTATAACCACTCTGCTGTATACCTGAAACTAATATAATATTGAATGCTAACTGTAATTGAAAAATTAAAAAAATTTTAAAAAGATGAAATGCTGGCAAGGATGTGGAGAAAAGGGAATCCTTGTGCACTGTTGGTGGGAATGTAAATTGGTGCAGCCACTATGGAAAGCCATATGGAAGTTTCTAAAAAATTAAAAATTTAACTTCCATATAATCTGACAATACTATTTCTGGGTATATATCCAAAGGAAAAGAAAAAAAGAAGGAATTCTGCCATTTGCAACAACATGGATGAACCTTGGGGCATTATGCTAACTGAAATAAGCCAGACAGAGAAAGACAAATACTGTATGACCTCACGTGTATGTGGAATCTAAACAAGCTGAACTCGTAGAAGCAGAGAGTACATTGGTGGTTGTCGGGCTGGGGGTGGCGGGTGGTGTGGGATATGGGGACATCTTGGTCAGTGGGTACAAACTTCCAGTTATAAGATGAATAAGTTCTGGGGATCTTATGTATGACATGGTGACTGTAATAAGCAGTACTGTATTGTATACTTGAAAGTTGCTTAGAGAATAGATCTTTATACATACATATATACATACATATATATATTATTTATTTATTTATTTATTTTATTTTATTTTTTATTGGGGAACAGCCATGGTCATTG